TATATATATATATATATATATATATATATATATATATATATATATATATATATATATATATATATATATATATATATGCCCCAGCTAATGATTAATAGATTATGAAATTAGTAATTGCAGTAATTGGTTAATCTGATTCATCATTTCAGCCCTAATTCAAAGTAATTTATAGTTGTGACAAAAATAAAAATGAATAAAGGAGGCATTTTTTTAAACCCTCTTTACCCCGAAACACCAAATAAAATCCAGACAACGTTTCTAATTAATAAACGTCGTCTACCTGTGTGTGATGTCCCTGTGAAGAGGCCCTCCTGCCTGCTTGTTGCTCCACGCCGGGGTTAGCGACCTGGACGCAGCGCGGCGGAGCCTTTGAAGCCCGACTGCAGCTCCTAAAGTAAACTTCAGACACGACATCTTCCGTCCTGCAATTATTTGATTGTTGTTTACTCAGGGGCTGAAAACAAATGAGGGTTCATCTTAGCCGCCACAAACAAAATCATCACCATTTCGTCAAACAATAGAGGCAGGAAACAAGATGATTATTTTCATTTGTGCTCTTTAATGCACAAGCAGCAGGTGTTAGCATTTTCTGCATCATTTAATTTCTGCTGTACAACAAGTAAAATAACTTGATGCACTTTTTATAACATCTTGTGCTGATTTATATTTGTTATATTTTGTGCTTCAGGGATTCAGGAGTATGTGGAGGCCATCACTTTCCTGCACTACATCCGTCATCGCAGCCTTATCAGCCTGGAGGAGATAAACGCAAAGCTTGTCTTCATGAAAACCGGCAACGCAGATCCAAAAGTACGTTTGATGAGCTGTCCTCTCAAAATAACGTGTCTATCCACTAATGTTCCCTATCAAAGCTCACATAACGTACTCTGATGAATCTTAAAGTGGTGCGAGTAGATTTTGTGAAGCAGTTGAAATCTTTTGTTCAGTATTTTATTCACTTTCAGGGCTTGGCGGAAGCCCCGCCTTCGTCAGCTCACGTCCTGACCTTCCAGGTGATGCCGGCCGACTACCTGCTGGGCGTGGCCGACCTGACAGGAGAGCTGATGCGGCTGTGCATCGGCAGCGTGGGCAACGGCGACATCGACACGCCCTTCCAGCTGAGCCAGTTTCTGCGGCAGATCCACGACGGCTTCTCCTACATCGGGAACACGGGGCCTTACGAGGTCTCCAAGAAGCTGCACACGCTCCGACAGAGCCTGGGCAAAGTGGAGGACGCCTGCTACACCCTGCGTGTCCGCGGCTCGGAGATCCCCAAGCACATGCTGGCGGACGTGTTCTGCACCAGGACCACCCACATGGACACAGAGGAAGGAGTGGTTTAGCGAAACACTCTTCATCACCTTTGGTGTGTCCTTGTTCGGTTTTATTGTGTTGCATTTTTAATGCGGTTTGAGAACCGTTCTTTCAGCATGCTTGTTAATGTAGCACAAACATTGATAGAGTAGAAAATCTGTTGTTTTTCTTTGTTGAAATTTTGAATATTCTGCTGTTTAGCACGAATAAAAGTTCTGTTGTGCTCTCCTTCGGCCTTCCAGCCGCTTTGATTCATTTTGTTTATTTTCTTGGTGGCCTTCTTCTTCTCCATCACTCAGATAATCTGATGGTCAGGTTGGACCATCGGACGCTCACAACAACCTTTGTACATCAGCAGACACAAACAAACCCCTTGCTTTAGCACACTTGTTTCTTTAAACAACCACCACCACATTTATTTGCTTTTCATCTAAAGCTCAGAGCTTGCAGAGAAATATTAAAGTCACCTGTTTTGTGAGAACACATTTCTGCGCAATTTTAACTTAAATATATTACACTTTTGTTTTTGTTTGATCTGTACCACCTCTTCTATGGATTTGGCATTGAATACATTCATCTATTTATTTACTTTTTGCTAAAAATCAAAATTTCATCTGGTTTAATATGTGTAAATGTCCATATTTATCCAGAAAGCTACTTAAAAACAATAAAAGGTCAACAAAAATGATGATAAAGTAACTACATTTTTTAAAATTGTTTTAGTGGAAATAGTGATCAAGAAGCTTCACATTTAAAGAAGCTTATTGAATCCTTTTCATATCTTTTCCAGAATCACCACCGCCTACATGTGCTTTTGATATATAATGGTGATTAGCTGATGTGTATTTCTTCAGAAGTGCGTTTCACATTCGTCAACATTATCCAGAAGATATTTATTTTGGCCTTGACATTGATAATAATTTGAAAGCTCCAGCGTTTACTTGTACATATTAATGCTGCCATCTCCTGGACAGTATTGATACTAGCTGCAGACTCCATTAAAATTTAAAAGCCATATAATCAGTAGAGCTACATAAATAATTAAAGACCCACTATATGTGCATTTTTGTGCACATTTCTCTTCGTAATGGTAAAAAAAAATTGCCACACAAAGAAATTCTTGAGTACAAACTAAAAAGAAGCTGATAAGAATAGCTCCTTAAAACTTAATGTGACCAGATCCAGAGATGTTGAGAAGATTTTACCAGGTGAAGAAGCTGATATTGATTGACAAAAAAAAATAGATTTAGGAACAAGCATTTCAGTTCCTCATCCACTGAGGTAGACATGCAGCTGTTATTAAAGCAAAAGGTGGTTCAGCAAAGTACAGAACAAATACAAATTAGATTTTTATTCGCAATTAATTATATTTTTTAAAATAATAATAATGTGCTGTTTCATTAACAAACATTTGTGTTTCTCTGTTAAATAAATCCCCAATAAAATCCTTTGTGACAAAATGTGAAAAAAACATAAAGAAGCCCTTTACTGCCATCTGGTGGCAGTCGTTAAGTACAACACCAGAAACTAGAAAAGCACATTCCATGTTTATTTTACTACTACCACCAAAGTAATATGTTTATTTTTGAAATAACGTACTGGCGATAATAAATAAATAAAATAAAAATAAATAAATAAATCTGGTAATGAGTCTGTTCATTTAGAGGAAGTTTGCTGATTTGCCTGCTGCATTAGCTGTTTAATGCTGACGCTTCCATAGTCCGCATGCAACCTGATAAAAGCAGCTCCATGCTTCACTCTGTGTTGAACTGAGCCGCTTTTATCTCTCAGTGTTGTCCATCAGCCAGCCAGGCTGAATGAAAGGAGCCTTTGGAAGTGTGGGAAAGAAAATGAAAAGACTCCTGCTTCTGTTCTGTGGTGATTTTCCCATGGATTTCCCCTCAGCCAATGAAACCAAAGAACCAATGAAACATGTTAGGAACCCGTGGACATCAACATTTATCCTTGTTAACAGAAATGTATTTCAATCGTCAATATTTTTTAGCAGGTTTTGGTAAAATGACTCAGACAACAGATCCAGCTGGATCTTTCCTAATTGCCTGCCTTTTTGAATAAAGCACAAATAAACACAAACAGCTGCGGTGTTTAAACAGGTGTTTTAACTATATGTGCTACTCAGTAATCCGTCCTGCCTTGTGGTAGCACAGATTGTCAGAACACCGAATGTGTCTGCAGCTGTGAGGCGGTCTGAAGGAGTCTGGAGTCAAATTCCTGAACACGTAGGAGCTCCAATACGGCGCATGACGCAGGGCGCATGACGCAGCGCGCAACGGCGACCGACTAACGGATTTACTGATCGATTACCGATCTGACAAGACAAAGTAGATTTCTATTCACTGTTATTTCTCCATATTGGATAGTTCTTTTTGTCCTCCTGCTTTTAATCTCTTGAGGAAACATGACTACAGGAACAGCTTTTCTTTTCCGCCTGTTGAAGCGCAACTGAACCTACTTGTTTGTTTTCAGCAGAGAAGAGAAAAAAAAAGTAAGAATCTGATCTGATCAGCTGTTAATACTTGTATTTAAAAAGCATTTTGAAATGGAAGAATCCCACGTTCACACGATAATTAGAAGGGGAATTAACTGAAAACAGCAGCCCGTGTTTAGTTTCCACAGCGGAAATGAGATCAGTCCGTTCTCCTGGCTCCACTTTTTCTAAAACATGGTGGATGTAACTCTGTTGCTGCAGGATCTGTCATTATCGGACTTCTGAAAACCTTCCATTTTATAGTTATTGATATAATTGAAGAAAAGATGTTTGCCGGACTGATGGGGCTCGACTGTCACCTGAACTCTCTACATCACCGCTGCGAAAGCACTGAAAGTAAGAAACTGCTTTCTTTCTTTTTTTTTTTCTTCCGTATAAGGGACCGGTATAATAGAGTGATGTGAAAAAAAGTACGCAAGTCTTTGCTTTATATCTCCAGAACCTACTATTTCACTCACCGAGTGAATGGGTCCGAATATCCCCCAGCTTAATGTAAATAACACAGAAAACAACATTTTGGGGTCAAGATCAACTAGGACCCAGACTGACAAGTCTAAAAGTCTGCTACTAAATGAGTTTATATTGTTTTACAACATGACCAGGGTAATGGATTCATGCCAAAACATGACAGAAAATCTGGTGCATGTCTTTATTTTCATTAGGCTAGATTTCAGCAATAGTATATTTACTTGTCTCTGTGATAAAAATAAATAAGTACCAGGCAGCTGAAAGTCATCATCAGAGTCCTGACCAATGACGATGGCTGTTTTATGTGACTTTGGAGAAATTTTGGTCCAATCTTCTTTGTAGAATTACTTTACTTTTGAGGATTTTTTTTTTTTTTTTTGCATGATTAGCTTTTCTGAAAGGACTTCAGTCTGGACTTTGTGTAGGCCACTTTAAAATCTTATTTTAAAGGTTTTAAAATAATTCACAGGTGGATTTGATGGTATTCTTTGTTTCTTTATTCTGCTGCACAACCTAAATGCCCCGCGACCTCAAGTTATGCCAGTTGTCTTTTGCTTTGCAAACCTTTGAATTTTATTAAATTTTATGATTAAATTGCTGTCTTGTCTGCTTCCTGTTGGCTTGTAGGGATGTAGGGATGATGTGGTTTTTCCACATTTTCACTCTTTGTTTCACACCAACCCAAACTGGACTGTTTTTTGCTGTGAAAATGTCAACATTAGTCTCAGGGACCTTTGCACCAGCTCTAAGTGCTCCATGCTTTGGTTTGTGATGGTCTGGCAATATGCCATCACTTCTACACCACCAATTGGGATGTAAACAAGCTATATTAGTTGTAATGAAGACAGTTTTCATAAACATGGGTCCTCTTCCTGATGGTCAATGTCTAAAATAAGTTGGGTTTTGTTTTGCTTCATGTTTCTACACCAAGGAAACAGAAAACCATGAATTAGAAAATACCCAGAATTTGGATTGACTTCAAAAACTAAGTCTGGTTTCCAATCCTGACTGTTACTTGATTACTCTAAATTTCCCTTGACTTTGGTGCATGGATGGTTTCTCTTTGTTGCAACCTATATAAGATTTTTTTGCTCAATGATTGGAGATAAACATCAGACAATGGATGGATTTTCCTGTTACATTTATTTTAAAGGGACATTTAGGGTACCAATAATTGTCAAAGCGCCGATTTTATTGTAGCACCTCTCTTTTTTTTCTCACTGAATAAATTAACTCAAATTAAAGGTTGTATTTTTAAAACTTTTTTAACGTCAAAGATTATGATATTCTTCTTCAGGGTTCTGGTGAACGACTGGTTACACTTTTTAAAATATAAGAAAAAATATTTATCATAACAAGAGATTATATTCCAAAGTGCTGAAACTTCTTCTCAAGCTGTCTTTTATCTGAACACGTTTGATTTTATAAAACAGGGAGCATAAAGCGTCTGCATATGTGTCCACAGCATCAGCTCTGTCACATTATGCTGGTTCATGATCGTCACGGGAATACACAGGAAGTCAGGCATGAAGCCTCACACCCGCAGAGATTTTTAATGCTGGACTTTCACGGGTAATAGTCAAGCTTCCTGTTTATAAAACTGGCAGGTTTTCAGATAGACTCTTGGTTTATTTCACTTCCCTTTTCTTCCTGCTGCTCTTCATCACGAATGCCGAGGCGTCGCACATCTGCCAAGCAGCGCTTCTTCTCAGGAGGTTGCTGACACGCAGGACTGCTTGTGCGCTGATCCTGTTCCTCAGATGTTTGTGTTTTTATGAGCTCCTCTGCATTCTTCTGTTGTTTCAGCAGCCAGTAGGGACACAGTGTTTAACCTGAGGGCCTCTTCTAGCTCCAAAGGTAAATAACTCTGTGACGCTTCGTTTTCTCAGACTTCGCCAAAGCAAAGAGTTACTGAGGGGATCAATTGTTGCTGCAGCAGATTAGATTTTTAGTTGTTCGATGGTAAAAAGCAAGCCCCTTGCTTCATACTGAGAGTCTGGACTATTGAGAAATGATTGCTTGGTACAAAAGGGATTCAGGCAATTAAAAAAAGAAAAAAGAAAAATTACTTTTTTTCTCGGAATTGACATACATCTAATCTAAGAATGTTTGGTTATTTAATTCAATTTGGATACAGAATTAGAACTCTGAGGAGAAAAAAAAATTCACAATTGTTTTTCTTTTTTTTTTTTTTTAATTTCCAGTGGCCTTAATCCTACTCCATATCTGGAGTTGATTAGCCGTTACATTTACAATGCGCCAGTTTGATGCTATGAAGCTTACCAGAAATTAGCTACACTGTAAACTACCAGAAGTGTCGACCTTAACGAGGCCACCGTTAATGTTAATTCAATATTTGGAAGCGTAGCCAACAAGTGAACGTATTACTAAAACTACAGGCAGAGTACAATTTTAGTTTACATCATCGTTGACAATTTCTCCTTCTGTTTTCTGATTGGTCCGGTTGATATTCCACCAGAGAAATCCAAGCCAATGGGAGAAAGCCCAGATGGAGCAGAAAGGAGATGAGAATCAAGCATAGGAAGACAATGACTAGTCTACTTTCTGATAGGATTCCTGGCAAATTATTTTTGCTCACATCCTCACAGGAAGCAGAGAGACATGCCATTGAAAGGCCAAGAAGTTGATGTCCCAACACACATGAACACACACACACAGTCAGACAGAATGAGCCCCTAGGCATTTCCTTCCCTTTTACTGGGAAAAGCGGTCTGTGTGCAACTGAATCATGGCGAGGATACAGTAACACGACCAGCAAGTCCTTCTCCTTTCACCAACCAGGCTCTTTTACTCTCCTGAGGGTTCCCTGTATAACAACAGCGACCACACCAGATGGTGGATGGTGCTGTGGTATTTGGTCCTTATGATGAAGGGTTGGGTTCCTTCAGTCTTTTATGGGACAGAAGCCACATCTACAGATCCACTTTAATGAATGGAGCTGGGTGGAACTTGAGCTTTCGTGTTGCGGTCCCAGTGGACCGGGCGCTCTTACCGAGCCCAACCTGGGCATAAAGAAGGCGGCTTGTTGTCACTCTCTGAGCCTGACATCCTAAAGTGAATTCTGTTTATGCCCTCTGCTTCCAGTCACATGGGACGATTGCATCACTAGAAGTCACTGCGGGCTGCGGCTGCTTAGCCCATTTTCTCGTCTTGACACATTGCTGCGAGACATGGAGTCTGCACATTCAGACGACAAACTACAATAACTTCTTTTAGTGTGTGTGAAATGGACAATGCTTATCTGATTCCTCTCTTTGCGGCACAAAAGTGTCAGTGTGCCTCTGTGCTTTTGGTGTGTGCATGAGTGGAGGGAGAAAAGTGAGAGTCAGAAGTAGGAAGTGCAGCTGGACACAAAGAGGCTGTTGATTCCCAACGTCTCGGCTTGCCTCTATTGAATCCAACGCATTATATGTCTTAATCAATTTGCATCGCAGCAGGTGTCTAAATGCAAAAACAGAGCTTTCTTTATCATTCTAAAGAAAATTAGGCTCATCGCTCAAATGTGATTGGCCAAGACAACGCTGTCCTATTTACGAAGTGTTTTTAGCTCAACAGAGTTTATTTGAGCTTTTATTAAGACTTCTTTTTTTTGTGTGGGAGTTTGTTTGGTTTTACTTCCCCCATTGATCTGAAGCTGCTTTCAGGTAAGCAAACAAAACAAAACAAACAAAAGTCTGGCCAGCTCTGGGCCTTTTTGTCCCCCTTCATGCTTATAGTATGTGTAACTGTTTTATCTCCAAATTTTACTTCATACCCATGAACAATTTCCTTCTGCTAAACTTCAGTTTTTTGTTGTATGTGAACTCAAATCTCAAGTATTCTTTGTTTTCAATCGATTTTTATTATGAGACAGATAATCCCCAAGAAATTTATCTCCTCTTCCTTCTACCAGTGTTTCTAGTATCAACTAGAAACAACCAATCAGAGCTAGGAGGCGGGGCTTAACGACGTCAATCACAATCTCTTCTGGTTATGCTGCCTTTTAGCTATAATAGCCTGTTGTGAATGCTAAGGCTAGTTAGCATGGCAACCGATGACAGCAGATAAACGGGTTTCCTGTAACCTTAAGTTGATTCTCGGCCTTTAGCACATTGAGCAGTGAGTACACGAGGTTGATTGACAGCGCTAAGACCCTCGTCCAGGCTCTGATTGATTGTTTTTGGTGCATTTCCTCAAACGGCAATAATTGCTCAAGGATTAGGCGGAGGAGATCGTTCTTTTCACATATTATTTGTCTCACAACATGATGGCAGTTTTAACAAATAGTTAAAATTTATATATATATATTTTTACAATACTTACAAACTGTAGTTTTAATTATGTAATCAGAAATATTTTCTCTCGAGTTAGATGATTGTTGTTCTGAGCAGAACAAACAGAAGAAGTGTTTTTCACTTGGCCACTCTTTCAAAGAGAGGCGTGTTTTGGTCTAAAATACGACTGTGGTGTTTCCCAACAGCTGGAGCTGAACTGTGGGAAATGTTGCACAGCAGCACAGCTTGTTTTTTTTTATTTTTTTTTTTTTATTCCAGACAGTGATGCAGTGCTGGAAGAGTCCAGTTAAAGTAAAGAACAATGTAATGCTCCAGATCTTCAGTCTTTCGTGCTGCAGTTTTTCCTTCCAGCCCGATGAGCTCACACTTTATCTCCCACATGAACCTACTGCCCAGATTAATGGTTAATCTCTGCATCGACAGGTGGCAAAGTATCTGGGACAGCTGGCAGCTCCGGCCGTAAGAGGCTGCACAGGAGACCAGGGTACATGAGAGGAGAGCAGGCCAGGCTGCAGTGCACTGCTCATGCTCAGGACGAAGAGGAAGACGAAGAAGAGGAGGAGAGCATTGCTTGCATCAGGAATGGAAGATCTGGATGCCATGCTGACCTCACCAAGGCAACCAGAGTTCAACAGTTGAGTCAAGCGCCTACCGTCAAAGTGTCTTTAACGAATGAACTACATCACAAGCGATCAACATGTAGTTCCTCAGAGAGTAAGAATTTGGCCGGCCCTTTAAATGGAGTTCAAACCACATTGAACGAACTCAGTCCAAGCCTCCAGTCTTCATCTGAGGTCGTCTTCAGCTCAAGTTTTAGCTTCATCCAGCAGTCTCTAAACAGCAACCAGAGGACAGACCCTGCCAGGCTGCCGCAGGAACCAGAACCAACAAATCAACCTGCTAATCTAGAGAAAAAACGAGAGGAAATCATCACCAAATCCAGCCAGGTCCATAAGGAGGAGCGTTCATATGGTGGGAGATGTTGGCGGGACTGTCTGTGGACTGGCAAGGAGGAAATGTCCCACCTTCCGAACTCTGAGTCCCAGTCTCTTGACATAGAGGTCACTTCCTCCCTGTCAGTGGACTCGGACACAGCCTCGGCCTCCTCTGTCACCTCCGGCTACGAGAGCGCGACGCCTGCCTCCGAGCAAGGCTGGGACAGCCTGGTGAAGACGTACGATGGCGTCCTGCAGGACTGCCTCCAGAACAACCGCACTTACACCAAGGTGGGTACGTCACAACGCTCGATGCATTCCAAAAAGTGTATTTGGGCTGCAGTTCATGTTATGGACATTACATTAATCTCTCTTAATTCGTTTGGTTTAGTGATGACAACTTACTTTTTTGTGTTGAATTAACTTAATTTTAACTTAATAATTTTACTTTACTTGAAACAATTTAGTTCAGTGCCGCGTTCGTATCCTACGTCTGATGTTCTGACGTTAGCTTCACCAGGGTCAGATCCTGTATCAACCAGGTGCAGGGGTTAAGGAAAACTCGCATAACGAGGCCTTTGACCTCAACGCGGCCGTCACAGGTTCAATTCCCTGCCTGATGACCTTTGCCACTTTCCTTTCTATCTACTCTCAAATGAAGGCCAAAAAAACCCTTAAAAAAAGATTATTTACTGATTTATTTGAAGTACAATAAATTATTTGAGTAGGACTGACCTAAATTTGTCAAGTTGAACAAACTTAAGTTCCGTTTGTTCAAATAAGTCAACTTAATTGACTTATTTGTTACAGATTGAAGCAATTCATTTAAGTTGGTTCAACTATTTTCTTTTTTCAGTGTGTGACAGGGCTCAGGTCTGATTGTATCTAAAATTAAAGAAAGGATTTTTCTTATCTTTTTTATGTAAAAATAAAACTTGTTTTTTGTAACAATCTGCAAGTTTCTGGTTTAATCTTAACCGGATGTTGGACCACTCTTCTTGGGTTGTTTGGTAGAGTCAATCAAAATTGTCTGGTTTCCTAAGGGCCCGGTTTTAAAACACGGTCCATAAAACTCCACTAGGTTTGAGTTTGGCTCTTTGATAGAGACTCAAAGTGAACGTTTCTAGAGCGTAAACAGGGATTTGCTATTTCCAGCAGCAGAAATCTCCAGGAACTTCATCTGTGGCGACTGCTTAAAAAGTTGAACTACAGAATAAGAAACCAATGATGCAATTTCTTTGTCCAAAGGTCAGTTTAAGTTAGATTATTTTTTGATTGATCTCTGACGTAAGTATTTGAACTACTTCTGTCAGTTTCACATCGCTTTAGTAACCAAACTGGATTTTGCTTTTAATGTAATGATAAGGTACTTGTGAAAAATCACTTTGGTCACTTAGAGATTTTTCTTAAAGCCTTTCTAAGGATGACTGAATATCATAAACTTAAGGAGATATAAATGTGTACTGGACAATCTCATTCTGTAAATATCCTAAAAATGAGATGTTAAGACATTTAATCGAAATGTGAATTAATCTAATTTCATGTTGATGAAACGTCCAAAACTCTTTGACCGAGTCACTTTGACATGGCGGTCGCTGCTCTCTCTGACCCGTGGAAACTATTTAAAGAGTTTTGACCCGGTGGACTCACCGCTCTGTCTTCTGTCCCCTCAAAGATCGAGTCCATGATGTTGAAGCTGCAGAAGCTCCAGCAGAAAGCCATTCTGGACGACGACTACGACGCAGGTGAACTTTGAACCAACGTTTTGCTTTAATAAATATTCATTTAATAATACGAATAATCAGGTTGTAGTTGTGGAGGTTTGCTGGTAAGTTGAGTTTGTGTTTTCATATTAAAATTTGTTAAATGAAGGGAGACCTTTGCAAAGTGCTTTTATCTGTATGTTTTTTAATTACATTGTTTATTCCACTATATAATTTATACAGACACAATTTACAACACAAACCTTTTAAAACGAGAGATGCATGGCACCAGGTTTTGAGATAATCAGATGTGATTTAACAGATTATGACTTGGCAAGATTTCTCCCAGAAAACTTGCTAAGCTCAGTGCAGCGAGCGAGAGGGCAGTCATCCAGCCAGTCGCCATGTTTTTGAGTTAAAAAATGTTTAAAGATGACAGGAAATTTGAAAATATTACTTTATAGTTATGCATTTTTGGAAGACTGGAAGATTATTACCTTAACTCCAACTATAAAGTCTTAAAAAAGGCAATAATTAAAGTTTTATTATATTTTTTAGAAGCAGAGTGAATGCTTTAACAATAGAGCTACATATTAGAGATTAGAATCATGTTCAATAAATTAGACTATGCTTTCGAATGAGGCAGATTAAACTATCAAACTTTATGCATTTATTAAACAGTTTTCATTAAAAGTCCACATTTCTGCTTTGAAAATTATGTTTCTATAAGCCTGATGCAACATTATGATCTTAAATGTCTTGTTTTTCTAAGCTGTAAATGGAAATCATTATATAAATTAACGTGTAAAAACAAATTCATTTGTACAATTTGTTTCGACCAGCGACATAAGTTGTTGAAATAAAAGGCGTTTTACTGTATGAAATGTTAATTTTCTACACTGACATGATATTAATTTCCTCAAAGTTAATTTGCATGTTACGTTTTCAGCTGAGCGCTTTGGGAAGAAGCTGGAGGAGCTCTGCGGGGAGCGCGGCGCTCTCAAACTGGGTTTACCCTCCATGCAGCCCAGCGTCGCCCACTTCCTGGAGAGACTCTCAAAGGTGGTGCACAGCGCCCTCCAGAGGGAGGACTGCGGTCATCGCAGGTCAGTTTACACCAAAATGACCGTCATTTTCCATTTCAGTGGAAATAATGTTGACTGTAGAGAAGTGAAAGGCAGCATTTTGCACTGGTTACAGCCCACTGCACATAACGTAACATTTATTATGTTTTTATTTTCCGTCACACTGTCTTGTTGTCGTTCTTATGCTGTTGTTGTAAACAGAGGAGATCCTGGAAACAATAACCTAAAGCTTATGAAGCATTGTAGCTACTCTGACATGATTACTGTTGAATAATCAGGAATATTATGATTCCTTTTAGGGCTGAAAAACATATCATGATTAGTTATCTGAAATATTACCATGCTAGTGGTGTAACCTTTCCTGTTTTAGCCACAGTTTTCACTTAGTGACGTTATTTATTGTTTTTAAGCAGTCGCGGTGAAAATTTAACAGTGAATTCTGAAAACGGATGTCCTGGGACCTGACTTTTTGTGATTGACGATTTATTATTATTCTTTTGGCAGAGAGGGATCAGAACCGGACTCAGTGGAGCAGTCTGACCCAACGCAGCGGAGGGATCGCTTGATTCAAGAAAAACATCAAGTTGAGGTAAATGCAGTACACAATATTTAATGTTCGTCCTTCCTAGGGTCGGTGGATAAATGAGCCCATCATGGATTCCTGTAATTTTCTGACTTGAACAAACTTATACTAACTTATATTTCAGAGTTTTATCGGTTTTATTGACCGGGTTTATGGATTTACACAAGCAGATATCACTTTATTTACAAATATATACGTTTGACTGACTCTTAGTGCCATCTATTGGCAAATTTCTTTAAATTTTGATTTACTTTCACTGCTAAGTAATACATTTTTTTTATTAAATAATGCTTAATTTAACTGAATCTAAAAACAAGCAGTGGAGCTGATGATTATTCCTGTGCAACGTGTCACCAGGAGGAAATTGAGAAGCTGCAGACGAGGCTGGCGCAGCTGAAGGATCGCAGTCGATACCTGGAGCAGCTGATCCAGCAGGAGGAGCAGCGGGCCGAGGCCATGGAGCTGGAGGGGTCGGTGGTGCGGAGCTGCACCGTGGCCCAGCTCCGGGACATGAGCCGCACCCTGCAGGACCTCATCTCGTCTGAAAACCGCACACAGATCTCCGTCTCCCCTCCACCTTCAACGCTCAGGTCAGGAATGCAGAGGGGAAGAATATTTCGCAGTCTAGCAGCAAATTTTGGTGTGTAGCTTGACATATTTCTAAGGAGAAAAGCTGGAAAAACTGAACATTTTTTTCAATTTGTTCTTACTCTTGTAGGGATTTCAGGAGATGAGAGATGCTGTGTGATTTTTTTTTAAGACGTTACTAATGCCCACTGAAGCAACTAATCGATTATTAAAATAATTGCCAACTAATTTAGAAATCAATTAATTGTTAACTGGAGTATATGGACTCAAAAAAAAAGAGTAAACTGTTGAAAAAAAACCAACACCTTCAAAGCAGTAATGATGACAAAACTGTACAAAAAATTTTTCTTCACTCAAAACTTCTCAAATATCAGTTTTAGCTCCACCTGGCTCAAATTCTGTAAATAAAAATTTCCTTTTAAGGGCTTTTTATAGTCTGATTATTAATCACTTAATCAAAAAAAAAAACAGTTAACAGATTAACTTTACACTGTAAATAATCAAACCGAAAGAACTAAGCTTTTCACAAGTTGATGCTAAAAGTATTATTTAGCTGCAAATGGATTCTTTGCCACAAATCATCAAGTTTTCACTAAAGAAATGCTGTCAATGCATTTTAGGCAACAAAATGTTCTTTTTTTTTTCTAAAAAAAGAAGTGAAGCATCTGTTTACTTGCATTATTTATGTATTTCTAATATTGTATAGTGTAAGCCTAAGTGGTTAAAATGAAAAATCTGCAGAATGTGCCAATATTTCTGTCTGATTAATCAATGAATTGTCAAAAATAATCAACAGAATAATTGATTGTTAAATAATTGTTAGCTGCATCTCTTCTTTCCAGAAAGCTGATTATTTTCCAATCTTGGGGAAGATTGTCACACCTTTTGCAGGTGCATTAGACACATGCATATTTATTCCTGCTGGTTTCCGGTCGTGCTGGAAAGTGAAACATCTTTCAGTAATAACAACGTCCCAAAACTAAGTGTTTAATTTAACATAAATACATCTGTGGATGGATGCAGAAAGTATCTGTGCTTCAAAAAACTATTTCAGCTATTTAATTAAATGTTCTTAACAAAATAATGAAAGTTGTATTTCAGAATTGCTGAAGTGGAAATACAGTGACTGGAAAATCCTTTTCAAATTTAGTCACATCACAACCACGAAAATGTCAATTTATTGACGTTTGTCTTTTGCTGCAGTTAGCAGGTTTTTCTCCTGGAAGTTTGTAAGACTTGGCGTTGACAGCATCATGCTGTAGCATTCAGTAACACAAAATATCATTCAGATATATGCATTTATATAATTTAATGCAGCTTTTAAAAATATAGACTCGCATCAGAACAAAGTTTTTGGATGACTCTTGCTTTTTTCATTAAGCTCAATCAATTATTATGAAACAGAATAGAATACAATATACCTTATTGATCCCCAAGGGGAAATTTGCTTATTTGTTGATAAGCTACACAATCTAAGGTGTTAAATATTAATAATATAAATATAAATATAACCATAAGAGATAACATTTATAAAATATATATATATCTAAGAGTGATGCAAGTAATTCAATATGACTGAATATAAGTAAATAAATAAAGCATGCACATACAAATATGTTAACCAAAACATAATCTAATCAGGGATTAACTGCAGTACAGTTAGTCTGCCTTTAGGGGACACCAGAGAGCTGTGCATGTCGCTGCACTTCTACTTTCCTCTTTGTTGTCTTACAAGATATCTCGCATCTAGAATAGCTTATTTGGAGAATATTTTATGATGTTTTTTCCTCTAACCAAATAAATATTACAGTCAGGTTGATTTTTCCCTCGAGAAAGAGTAAAATTGTGATTATTCATCTCACATTGGCATTAAACCAAATCTGAAAAAAGAAATATTTGATAATGTTCTCTATTAAAATAACAATAATAAAACCAAAAACCTCAACAACAAAAAAAAAAAAAATCAGGGTTTTGATGGAGGCACAGCAAAAATAAAAGACAGGCAACAGTTGGGTGAGACTTGAAGAATAATTTATTTTTCAGGCTGAGTGAGAATGCATTAAGCAGCACCAAGTACTTTATTTTATTTATTTATTTTTATCCAAAGCGTCCTCTGTGCCGCCAGCCTTCTTCCCTCACACCTGCTTGCTCCTGCTTTGAATTTTAATGGTTTTTCTCAGATGCTAATGATTACTTTGCATTTCATCCTCAGAAGTTAATAGCTTGCGAAGCAACCCTGCGGAAAGCCCCTCTGTCTTGACACTCGTTACAAAGACATGTAAATTGTACTTATCGCGTTCTGCTGGTGTGACCCACCACCAGGGCAATAATTTGATACCTGACACATCGCCACCACAAATGCAGCACATTTATCTGATTGAAATCGTGGTTTCCGATTGGATCCCCACACGACTAACTCGGGGCTCTTCTTTTTCACGTTGAGGTATTTCTAATGGCGGCAGATTAGAGTATTCACGAAAAAGTGGTTGTCCAACGGATGATAATTTTGGAACATCAGCTTGAATAACATGCAAAGGGCACAACAGATTTTTGTGATATGAGGAAGCTGGGACTTCCTCAAGGTGACTGTGTTGTGCTTAATGGATTTTATGCTCCATTTTCCTCATCTTCTAATTAATTTATACCTCTGCCACCACATAATGTCACCTTGCATGTTTGTCCTGTTTGCATGTTTACAGAAGTATAATCGATGTGACCTTTGCCCTTCAGATTTTGACAGAATCGTGCAAACACTGGATTCAAATGGACGTACCAATGAAAACACACTTATAGGCAGCCATGGTGAAGATGTGTGAAAATCACACTCATGCACAAAAATACAAAATTTAGTAAAATTACTTTTGTATGGAAATAAAACGCACACGTTAGAATTTTTTTTCTCCACCAAATTAATGAAACCAAATGTTAAAATATTTTTTTCTGGTAATTTTAAGTTACACAAATTTTAAATCAGCGATCCATGTCTTCCAAATTCCCTGGATTAAAAATGATGTGACACAGCCACTCCTCAAAATGGGAAAGACAAACCATATAAGTTGTGGAATGGCTCCAGTTTAATTTAAAAATTAAAAACAACTAGAACTTGACAACAGACTGGACAAGGACTCAAGTTCGTCTTCCAGGCTTTCACCATTAGAAATGGGAAACCAAACCAATAACTTGCATTGGCAACGTACATCAAATATGAATCAAAAAATACGCACCTCGTCTTTGTTGTTGAACAAATCATACCAGCGGCCGTGATCTTTGTCAAACCCGTTCTTCTCTGAACTGTTGACACTTCTGATGGTCCAATTATCTTTCCTGTCTTAGCATGCTTCGGCTCAACACATCTGATGTCTTGACAATACAGAGTTCAGGCCTAAATCTGACTAAAGCCACATTTATTAGCTTGAAGAGACGAGGATTGAGCTTTACAGCCAGACTACAGATGATTCTGGTGTAAAGGAAAGGATGAAAATGCAAAAAAGTGCCCTATGTCCACTGTTAAGTACAGTGGAGGAACTGTCATGATGTGGGACTAATTCTCTTTCAAGACTTATTACGGTCTTTAGGATCATAAACTAAATTTAAATCAACCTAAAATTATGCCAAAAATTGTAAACAACAAGTTATTCCCCATATTTCACAGTTTAGATTTATTTAATTTGAAAAGAAAAATATTTATTTGTGTATTTTGTGCAGACTCCAGGAACAGGAACAGGCGCTGAACCTTTCCATGAAGGAAGCTACAGCTAAGGTAAGCCGATTTTCCTTCCCTGAGTTAACCAGGATTGACTGAATGTGAATGAAAACCTAATGAATTGTGAGTTAAAATAGACGGCATATGTCTTGTGACAATGTCTGTGTGCTCACAATGTGTACCGATGTCAGAGTTGTTTTTTTTTTTATCTGCTCTTTTTGATCTGACAAGGCAGTGATTTCCTCAGTTGTGTGCTGGAGTCAGAAGCAGCAGGATATGCCATTTCGAATAAATTCTCCCCTGATTCACTCTTTCTCTGAAGGAAAAAAGGACTAAAAGTATAAGAAATAAAAATGAGAAAAAAGGAAAAGTTGGAAATCTGGTCAGTATTGAACCTTTGCAACTACGTCACTTCATCTTTCAAGGCGTCATGATGGACGTTGGAAGTGAGGGACAGTGTTATGCCGCACATCGCTCTAAACCCTCACAGATTGATGAGAAAACGGACTGAAATATTACCAAAGAGACAATTTTTAAAAAACTCACTCGTAAAATTACCATGTTTCTTAACCATGAAAGCCCTAAAACGGTGGGTTTTATTTCGCAGATGAATTGAAATAAATACAGTTTTGACACCTTGATTGAGACGTTTGAGTCGAACATTTTAGTCAATGTCTAATGAGTATGTTTTCCACGAATGGTTTGCATTTTCCCGCTTTTTCTTTTAACACCGTAATAGCTTAACGCATGACAAAACAGAGGCCCATGATGTAGAGAATTTGATATGACCCTTAACTGCTTGGAGGAGATGCATTTTAATTTCTGAGCCTGCCAATATCCGCATCCCCTGTTTATTGTCCTATTGATATGAAACTTATACCAGTAGCTCAGAGAACAAGTGTAATTATGCAGAAAAGGTGAAATCCCTTTTAGCTCTTTGTTTCTCCATGTTAGCACAGCGATGCATTTTTTTGGCAAAGCAAATTATTAGCCTGCCAATATTTGAATGCCTATCTATTTCCCCCAAATATTGTCCTATTGGTATGAAACTTATACCAGCAGTTCATAGAACAAGTGAAGTGTGATTATGTAGAAAATGTAATTTCACTCTTAACTCTTTATTTCTTCAAGTTTGGAGGGGAGAAGAGAGACCAACGTCATGTGCAAAGGATCAGTAGTGGTGCTTCTGTGAGACTATTTGGTAAACTAAAGCAAGCAGAAACTTTGAATGGTTTCAGGACAGGAAGAGGTGTCACACTTCTCTATGTGAAGCGTTTTTCTCCCGTCACACTGTCCTTCAGAAACCCGTCATCAAATCGCTGGTTGATGCTGCAGCTGCACTTCAAAGAAACCTAGAAGCTCTTCACAAAGAGACACTTCTACCCCGGTTACCATTGTTGTGTTGGAAATGGAAAGTTTGCTTCTTAAATGAAATATCCATCATGCTGGAAACGGCACACCTGCTGTGACAAAACGATTGCAGGCATGAAAGTAACCCTGGCTTCTCTCCGTTGACTTTTTTATTTTATTTTTTTTGCAACAAAAACTGGCAAAGAGCTGCATGTTTTGGAAATTAAATCACCAGTGTTAGAATTTTTACAGTTTGAAAGGCACTCCAAAGTTGTTTCCAGTTTGTAGATTGTGTGAAATTAAATTATTCAATCCTGTTTTGCCGGATTTCTGTGCGAGGAAAACTCCCGGGAGATGTTTTGCCTTTGAAATACCAATCAGGACGACATTTTCTCAGAAAACTGTGACAGATTCAGAAAGAAAAGGAGTCGCAATATCCAGTTCGAGGTGTAAAAACAATCCCTTAAAAGAAGGAGGTGCATTGTGGCAACAACACAGTGCTACACCAAATCTTGCCAAATATTTATGGTGTAGTTTCTTAGTACACTTGGAATAAGACCAACTAACTAAAACATAACTTTTCAAACACATATTGGAACTTGTTTTGAATAAATAAATTCTTAAAATTGATGTGAAATACTAGCTCCACTGAATTAAGGAGTTTTTAAAAATGTGTGGCTCTGTTGATTTGGAGGGACTAGAGGGACTTATTGATGTAATCTGGGAGTAAACGGATAAAAACTGCTTTGATTTGATTGCTAAAATAACATTTAAGCACACCAATGTTATCTTGAGGAGTCTAATTATGCGTTCCTCTGAAGCCTAAAGGGTAAAAACTTAAAAAGTTTGGCCCCTAAGCCTTGAGTTTGAAACGTATTGTAGGTGATTTGAAGCTCACCAGCAAGCCAAGAGCTATAATTCTAAAAAAAAAACAAACTGGTTACGCTCAAGACCTTTCCAGTGTGACTTAATTAAAACAATTCTGCAAACAAGAGTGGATCAAAGTTTCTCCACAGTGACTTTTTGGCACATCCAGGGCAATTACTCCTTCCTCATAATCATAACTTAATAGCTGCATTTTGAGTTTTCTAAGCTAATATTTGTCAGAGGAAATCCGTTTGGGCCTAAATGCTTTTCTGAGCGCCGTATTCGGTCACAGTGAAGCAGAGGTTTAACGGATGTAGCGAGTGAGAGCAGATGGAGGCCAGAACCCTCAGCGGATCGTCAGCGGCCGCATCTCCATCAGCCGCTGACATTCAGCTTCCTTTTCTATTTTTTCCTTTTCTCTCTGACCTTTTAATGATATCTTTCATAGAGATTCCTCATACTGCTGTCCCACCCTGTTTTGTTCTTTCTAAAGGTTAGGGACAGGTAACACATTCAGTGTTGATTCACAGCTGCATATTCCAAGCAGGGCGAGCACAGAAGGATGCAAATACACCCGCAGAATGAATGTTAAAAAAAAGGAAAATGGAGGCAGAGGAGGAAATGAGCATTGCATCCTGTGGGATCCATGTGCCTGCAAAGGTTTTGCTGGTTAGCACCATCCCCCCACTTTCTACTTTTGATCATCTTCTCCGTTTTATCCCCAGGTGGTCATGAGTCAGAGGCTGGGCAGCAGCCTAAGGAGGAAAGTCAGCGAGACTGAAACGCAACTCTTGGCTCTGCACGAAGCCAAACTGGCGGCCATATCTGGTAGCTTTCCACTCATCTCCACCCCGAAAAACATCCCTGCTACATTACACATCCTTTATTTACCCCATTTACTTGAATGGCTTACCATTAGCCGCACTTAATTACGCCATTAATGATGAAAAAGCTCATTAATGGGCGGTAAAAGCGTAATGTCCTCCTGCGGTGCGCCCGTGCAGGTAATGACTTCGGCTGCGCCAAGGAGCTGAAGGCGGAGATGAAGGCGGTGTACCTGGAGCGGGACCGCCTGGAGGCGCTGGCCAGGCGGCTGCACAGCCTCAGCTCGGGCAGCAGCCAGGAGCTGGCCAGGATGAAGGAGCAGCGGCAGCAGCTCAGGCTGGAGCTGGAGCACAGGGAGGCCCTGCATGGTGAGCACTGCCGGTTACCTGGAAATACTCATTAATAATTACTTCCCCAAGAAAGTAATCCAGATACTTTACCTACAACTTATTTTCAAAAGCAATTCAACACACTCACACCTATTTGGAGAGGCCAATTAACCTGACAGTCATGTTTTTGGACTGTGGGAGGAAACCGGAGTACCCGGCAAAACCCACACATGCACATGCAAACTCCATGCAGAAAGACCAGGGCTGGGAATTAAACCCAGAACCTTCTTGCTGCAAGGCAAGAGCTCTACCAACTGCACCACTGTGCAGCCCTCTATATCTAACAGTTATTTACAATTTACTATCTGTTAAAATAGTATTTCATGAGATTAAACTGAAGTAAAACACGCTCCCTGCAACGGCGGGAGTGAATTACCGTAATAATCCAACATTGGCTGGGAAGCGCAACGTCTCACCTTTCAGAAATCGTTGACATTTTTCAGATGGCGCAATGTATCGCAGAGTTACGGCAACGCAAAGCTGGATCGTGAAAATGTCTCGTTGGCGACACATTTTGGCTGATGAGCGTTAATTACTTTGTTACTTCTCAAAAAACAACGCAGAAATACTCAAGGTGCACCAATAAATTGGTCCCGATTTCCTTGATCTTGGGAGATTGGTGATCAACTGATGCTTACATGTGAAGCTGATCTTCTCCACCGGTTGTATCTGCATATAAGATCTAAAAATCAACCACTGTCCTCTTCTACTCTGGGTTTGACTGACAGACCAGATCATTTTCCAACTTTTGCAGGTAACAATCTTCACCCCACTGTTGCCAATTCAGTAAATTTCTTGCTATATTTGGCAACATTTCAGACATAAAAAATCAGAATCAGATGATTTTTAAACGTCTGTAATCGGTGCACTCCTACTAAATACCCAATTAAAGCAATAATTTCATTTTTTTCTGCATATTCCATCGTATAAAACTAAATAAAATGAAACGGTTTCCTTTTAAAACTTGATTTGTTTCGCTCTGTAACTTTATGTACATTGCATCATCAATATTGAATAATGCAACAGTCTCGTTTTTAAGGAATTATGTTAAATATTTGAACTTATTCTCTGCGTATTCATCTATATTTTAAGAAAATCAAGTTTGTGAATCTGTATTTCATTCTTAGTCCACCATATAAAATACAATTAGTTTTGTGTTTTCACTCCTTCATATAAATAGATGTGTAATACAGCGATTAAACAAAATAATTAACCCTCCATGACCGTCTCTATGCATACAGTATCTATCTACAATGTGAAAAAGGCAAAACTATGTTTTACATGAAACCTGCCAGTGACTTACAGTAACACCATTACATAACATGTTTATAAAGTTAACAGCATGAAAAATTTAGTGGTTCTGTAAAACTTTTTTGCATAAAAAGTCAAATTCTCACTCTGTGTGGCTAAAAATGTTATCTTAGAAATTATTGATGCCCCCAAAATTGATTGAATTTTTAAAGTTCTTTCTAGATGAATATTTAATGATCATTCAAGAAATTTTGCTGCTTAAATCTGTTTTTGCTTTCAGGCTGAGAGACTAGGCTTTATTTTCTAATATAATAACAGTCGATGTGTTGTTTGCTCCTGCATGTAGATCCTTTAAAAACTTAATTAAAAGTTTAACTTAATTAATTTAAACTTTAAGTTAAGTTTGGAATAATTCAGAAGAGTCTGGTGCCAGGAAAGAATCTTCTTATATAAGTGTTGAATTGAAAGCAACTAACTTGTTGCTGAATGACTAGAAAAATATTCTGAAATATTCCACTGCCATTTGTTTACCATTTTAAAACATATTTCCGACTCAGATAGCAGCCTAAGTGCATTTGCTGAAATATTATTACTTGTTATAACTGTTAACATGCATTTAATTGAAGAGTTTGGACAATCAATAAAGCTGTCCAGGAAACTATAAGGTTATTTAGTTCTGTCTAATGTCGATTGAAGACATTTTCCAACACTCTTACTCAAAAATAGGAAATTATTAATATCAGAAATATTTTCAAATTCTTTTTTTAGTTTCTTCACTTGACAAATATAGCACTGAGTTGTTCAAAAAGCAAAGCTGAAGACTGAAAAAAAAAAAAAAAACACTTCAGCTTCACAATTGCAATGCACAAATACTTTTGCACCAAAATACCTCCATGAGGATTTTTGGTAGCAGTCAGTCTTGCAACAAATCTGAAGGTGCTCCTGACTGAAGAGCGTCACTGTATCACAGTTTCATGACTGTCCATTCAGTAGAGGCAACATTTCATACTAATATGTCACGGATGAAATCATCAGTTCTTGGTAAGCACTGCTAATCCACCTCATTTGCTTTTGCCGCTCCTCTTCAGAGCGCCGTTTGGTTAGAAGGCCGGTCCTAATCTCTCTGCTCTTTGGTCCTGCTCTGCATCAGGGAAGCTAAATTTTTTTAACTCCTCTGGGATTCAGGGACAAAGATCCTTTATTTCAGCTTTTGAGATGCTAATCAGCTACTCCAAGTTGTAGAAACAATACCTTGTTGTCACGGTTACGCATCGTAACATTGACCGAACGTAAAAAGAGAATGCACAAATCTCACCAGCTGACAGCAGAAGGAATAATTACACAAACATGCAACAGTTTAACCAAGAAAACTATGAATAACTGCTCTGCATTTTGGTTTATAAAACTGTTTTTAGTGGTTGATATGACTAAAAAAAAAAAGCTAAGTTCAGTCTATTTCTATGCGCATCTTTTTCACTGCCTTTTTATCCTAGTTCTCTCCTATTTTTTCATGTTTCTTTCCTTTCACAAGAACACTTATTAAAGAAACATTACTGTTGCTTCATGCAGAGCAGGTAGTTTTTAGAGCTGTTAATGGTTATGTTCTATAACCATTTTAATGCATAAATATGAATAAATGCATGCAAGCTTAAAAATAACCTCCATAGATCTCTGGATTTTTCTCTTTTTTTTGTAACTGCCTGCAGGTTAAAGAAAACTTGTTTTTTAAAGGATCTTTCTTTCTCTTTCAAAAGCTAAATTCAAATGCGAGTCATGAAAACTCTTTAAATGCTGCCACACACTGTGAGGACATCAGTGACTTTTCTCCAAACCTAAGAGCTGGCAGAGGAAGAGGAGGAGGCGGCGGGATGATGCTGAGCCCGTTACCTTGGAGCCCCTCAGTGCACACATGAGGCATCAGCGATCGGACAGTCTGCGTCCAGATCACAGACCCCAAACGCTGCATAAATACGGGGCTTGCTTTTTAGGGTTGGGGATATTGATTCGGCACGCTGGCGCTGGCAGAGATTTAAATGGGTTTTGACGGCACCACCTGCAGTGCTGCTCTCTGTAGTCCATCAGTCACACAGAGATTTTCTAAAAAAAAAGGTCACTTCGCTCTCTCTGAGGCGCAGAGACGAGGGAGCAGAGCGGAGACCAGCAGCTGCAGACCTGGGTTCTCCTGGAAACCTAAAGATTAAATTCACACATCAAATATAAATGTTTAACATCTCCATAAATTAATGTGTGGTTAGTTCTTTTGTTTTGCCTGGCTGCACCCTTTTCTGTCAGTAGGGGGCACCCTTTTGTTGTAAGATTTCATTCAGGATTTTGTGGCGCACTCCTGCTCCAAAGACATTCAAATCAACTATCATCACTTAATTTTGTCAATTCCTTTCACCCATGCGTAACATTCAGACTCGCGCTGTGATTTCCGGAGCCCGAAACAACTCGTCCCGGTTGCATTCTCACAACCCTGATCCACATTGAGCAACAAAGACTTGCCCAGCTTCAGCGCATTACAGCGCAGATCTTAGACAAATAGGCTGGGGAAAAACCAGTGACATGATAATTCTGCGGCCAAACAAAGGAGAAGCAGTCAGGTGGGTGTTACATCACAAAGAAAACGGTGATTTAATGGCTGGGTGTGTGTTCTGATCAAATGCTTAAGTGGGTGTGAATGCTACGGGCACAAAGTGTTACAGACACCAAGGAAAGGGATTCATTAAGTTGTCATCCTGTTTGGTAATAAGCAGGTTGGCACACCCTGGCTGGTAACTGATAGCAAACGGCACGTTGCTGTTCTGTATGTGGACGGGATTAGGAATTACTGTCAACATCTAGATGGCTGAGCTTTTGCTAACCGGAGCATTTGTGGTTGATTCTTGTCATCTCCCCTGACAAGAAAACCATACGTTTCATTGTGGAAAAGCTTTTTGTCTTCAACTAAGCTCTGGAGGAACATATAGTTCAGATAATGGCGTCATGCGTTCGTTCGCCACTTCGGCATGTTGGAGCTGCTGGCCGGGGAGCCATTAGGTCCCTAATTGCTGCTGGCGTTGAGTGTTGATGAATACCAAATTGGAGGTTTGATTCCCTGCTGAGCGACGGTAAATTTACAAATAAATAATTGAAAGGCTGGAAAAGATGAGTAAATGACCCCCAGAATGGGGCTTTTCGAACTTGGAGTGCTTTCTTTTTTATTTATTTTGGAGTGTTCTTATAAAAGCTTTTTACATGGCCTCCAGTTTAATACAATTGAGTTGACTATGAGTGTTTATTAAACTTTTCTAGTGCTTCAGATACAAGATTTTATGTATGTTAGGGGTTTTCATGTAATAAAATAACATAAAGTAGTAGAGGACTGTAAATTGGAAAGAAAATGATGCCTAGTTATTTTTAATTTGATATAATTAATGTTTTTTAAAAACAAGAATAAAACGCAATCAGTAGGACATGCATAACCAAGAGCAAAACATGTTTATTACCACTTTTCTGTTTGAAAAGGGGTAGGAAGGAGTGAACACTTATTTAATCCTACCTCTTGTCTCAGTTTAATTAAATATATTACTGACTCCATAATTGTCAGAAAAAATAAATATCAGAAAAATGTGGCATTGATTTGACTCCTAATCTTCTATGAATCAGATTAGGTTAAGAAACATAAATTTTAACGTCTTACCACCAATATTCAATTAGATTTAGGGCTGGAGTTTGACTATGTTGCA